AAACGACACACACACACACACACACACACACACACACACACACACACACACACACACACACACACACCCCTACACCTCTGATTGTTGTTATAATTGAACAAAGCAGAGCACCACACCGGTGATGTCTGATGACACCCCTGATAGTGTCCTACCCTTCCTTTCCCAGACTCTCAAGCTGAGTTTGCTGGGAGCCTGAAGAAACTGATGCATCCAGCCAGTTAAGATAAACCAGGACCCCCCCGAACTCCCTATTATTTAGTGACTAAACATCTTTGCACGCACCCAGGCAGTTTACAAAATTACAAAATGAGAGGGGCCTTCGCTGTAGCCACTGCCAAAATGCTGCATCTCTCAGGAAGAAATGCATCGAGCAGAGTTGGGCACAAAAGAGTAGACCTCAAAAACTGCAGCACTGCCAATATTTTGGGGTTCCATGGATACCATGGCACATCAAGCTTTTTCAGACACTGTACCAAAAGTTCAAACGCAAGGGCTGCAGGTACTTCAAAGGCTGGGCTGTAAGGGCTGTAACACCGTGAGTCCCCAGCATGCATGTGTGCACACACACACATACAGCTAACAGGAAAAGACTATCTGATATGGCTGGCTGGCTACAAGGAAAGGAAGCAGATACCCTAGGGGCAAAACCTGTGCCAGTGAAAAGTCAACTCTGCCTTGCAGGGCTGGGCAATATCAGGGGAAAGGCTAACCTTCCTGTCACGGTTCATCAGGCACCTTCAACTCTATTCCTTCCTGGGAGGACAAATTAGTTCTTAAGACTTGCAAGATAGGGCCTGGCCCTGGTGGTGGTACTGGTCTCATGGGACACCGTTTGCATCATCTCCTTATTGGCAGGTACATGTTCTCTGCTCAACAGTCTTCAGCTTTTGGCATCACAATGCAAGGCCCCTCCTCAGACTTACCTTGTCCTGCTCTCCTGTATACACTAGACCCACGTGTCTGGCTCAGTTCTCCATCTGTCATGTGTTACTTTGCTGGAGTAGGTAGCTGCTCCCCTATTGGTCTCACTCTGAACTCCACTCCTCTCCTTACATCTACCCCTTCCCTGGGGAAACTTCCCCTCAGCCTAGTTGCATCCTGTGCCTTTCTACAGCATCTAATGGACTGCCCCTTCCATTCCTGGTTCACGCTGAATCTGCCACCGTCCGTGCTCCCTGGCAGCTTCCACACCTTCTGTAAGCCAGCATCGCCTTAATATTCTGGGACCCTGGAGCAGCTTCTCCTAGGCCCACTCTGCTCCCTGGCCCCTGCTTATCACCATGGCAGATTCCTACTGGGCTGTCTCTTCCCAGCCTCCATCTTGCCAGGCCACTGGACTGCTACAGCCTCTCACCTCCAACCCTTTGTATGGCTGCCTTTCAGAGGGGTGTTATTGGTCTCCTTCCCCAGGAACTACATGCAACAGCCACTCTCCTTAGTGCTTAATTGTCCAGGGGACTGCAGCCATCTCCTGCCCTAGACCTGGGCCGTGCCTTCCAGGGGATGAAGGGAAGAAGAGAGACAGAGATGATCTATCTTCTACTCTTCTCCCTGCCTTAGTTATTACAGATAGTCTCTTTGTGACCAAGTTCTTTCAGAACATCCCAGATGTCCAACACCTACCAACTTACTGGCTTTAGGTGAATAACCATACCTTATCAAATTAAAGCAAGGGCTGATAGTAGGCAGCATGCACTTGCCCAGGCTTAGCCTGGTCAGGACACTGGGGGTAATACCCTTACTCTTGCAAAGAGAGCCATGGATCTTTAATTATTTGCAAGAGAATTCAAAGGGTCCGTGCCAAGGTTTTAGCCCGACAGTCCTTTTAAGGAGAGCGCACTACTCCAGAGTTGGTCTCATGATGGTGTCATGGTTTTAATGTCACTGTTGCATGGCTTAGGAAGTGCTCAGTATCTCACAGAAGTAGGCCCATATTGTGCCTTTCAAATTATTCTGAATAATCAATGAAGCTTCACGTGGGTAGGGCAACAGCATCTCAGTATTACAGATATGTACAGAGAAGCTCAGAGAAATGAAGTGACTCATTCTTCAGGGTTACAAAGTGAGTCAGTGGTAGAGTTGGAAATAAAATCCTGACTCCCAGGACCACCTAGCAAACAATCTTAGTTTTATCATCCATGATAAAAGGGATAATAGAAATTCTGGCTCAAAGAGAAATCATCAGGCCCAGCCAAGCTGCTCTTCTCCTGTAATGAAGAGCTGAGAAACCTGACCCTGCAGCAGCTAGAGTGAAGTGAGATTCCTGGTCATTTTGACATTAGGAAAAGACTTCATCCCCTAGGGAATTTCAATCTGTCATCGGAGCCATGTGACAATCTGGGTAGTTCTGGTGGAGTGTTAATGGTGAAGAGGTGGCAGGATGACGACAACATTTGGGGTATTCCCGTGAAAGGAGACTTTATGAATCTTTGCATCAAAACAAGAACTGAAAGTGGAATAGAGACAGATGCAAAACAGAGACGACTTTCAGTCTGAATAACTTTTACAAGTACCAGCCTGAAGGAAATTAAAAATTTATAAGTAGACCTTAAAATGAACTGCTTACATCCATAGGCCAGCACAGCCTGTACACTCCTAAACCACCTGCCCTCACACTAGCCCCAATGCCGTTTAGCTTGTGCTGCTGGGCCATGGCAGAAAGTAAAACTCCTAAGGGACAGATTTTTAAAAGAGCCAAGCACCCAATGGTTCTTACTGACTGCATTAGAACTGACTGCATGCTGGGCTCCTTTGAAAATCTGGCACACCTGTCCATCACTCTCCATTGCTCAGATCAACTCCAATCCAGGGAAGGAGGATTACGAGAGGCCTCACAAATGTGGAGGATGTTTGCCACAGTGTGGTGGCACAGGTAGAGTTTTGCAGGCAGGTAAGAGATGGCTAGAGGGAGTGAGGCATGTAGGTAAGTGGATGGGAGCCGGATGGGGCTTGAATGTAGGGAAAAATCAGAAAGTCTAAGGCATAAAATGCATTACACCTAGCAAGAGACATCAAAGGCAATAAAAAGGGGTTCTTTATACATTAGGAGCAAGAGAAAGATGAAGGAAAGTGTAGGTCCTCTACTTAGTGGGGAAGGGGAGCAAATAACAGATGACATCAAGAAGACTGAGGTGTTTAATGCCTATTTTACTTCAGCCTCACTAAAAAGGTTAATGGTGACTGTTTCTCAACACAACTAATATTAACATGGGGGAAGTAACACAAGCCAAAATAGAGAGAGAATGGGTTAAAGAATCTTTAAATAAGTTAGATGTATTCAAGTTGTCAGGGCCTGATGAAATTCATCTTAGGGTACATAAGGAACTAGCTGAAGCAATTTCAGAACTGTAAGCAATTACCTTTGAGAATTCATGGAGGATGGGGGAGTTCCAGAGGACTAGAGAAGGGCAAACATTAGTAGCTATCTTTAAAAAGGGGAACAAAGAGGACCCAGGGAATTATAGATCAGTCAGCTTAACCTTTGATACCTGGAAAGATATGGAACAAATTATTAAA